ATGCCGGCCATTCACCTTCTCCGAGGCTCGGGTCCTTTAGTGCCAGACAAGTCCTTGTCTCCCAGGGCTGTCGGGACAGCCACGTGCTGGTAAGCTCACCACAGATGCCAGTTACCTATACCGTCCTGGGTCTGGCTCCACTCAACCCAGGGAACCCTGTCTCCTCAGCCCTTGGAAACCTCGCCCACTCCGAGCTCCCCGACGCCAGGGCCTCCAGCTCGGTCTCTGTACCCACAGTGTGTGGCACGTGAATGAATGAACGAGTCCATGCACGCACTGCCTGGATTTGCTCAAGCTGTGGAGAGTGGGCTGGCTGGGAAGTGAAGATGAGATCACCAGAGCTCTTGTTAATGCTTCTCTGGAGAAACATTCCCAGAAATGGAGGAGATGGAAGAATCTTCCGTAGCCCCCGCCTCACGCCCCACCCTTGGCAGGACTTGTCACGATGAACTGTGATTCACCCAAGGAGCCCCGAGGGACCTTTGCCTGATCCGCGGCACCTCGCTCAGCGTCACCTCATCCTCATCCATCATCCTCGAAGATTCCTAAAGAATGAGCATATCAAGCTTTGCTGTCACAACGTTGTAAAATGTTGCAGTAATTGAAAACCACCAGTAATTTCTGTTCAAACAGACGAGGCTGTCTTTTCAAACCAGAGCAATGGAAACACCGCGCACACCACGTGTGCCCGAGCACCCACAGGCACCCCCAGCCCGCCCACTCCCGTCCCTCTGCACGCTCAGTCTCTAACCCTCTCGTTCTTGCTCTCTCCTGCATGCTTCGATGCCTTGTTATTCTCCCAGTCACGTCCAAAAGACACCCAATCCAAAGCCCTTGATCTGGAATGTGAGTGCACTCTGCCTAGCCAAAATCACAGAATAATGGCAATGTCATGGCATTGCTCATCTCTCAAAAAAAAAAAAAATCTAGGGGCGCCTGGGTGGCTCAGTCGTTGAGTGTCTGCCTTCAGCTCGCGTCATGATCCCAGGGTCCTGGGATCGAGCCCCGCATCGGGCTCCCTGCTCAGCGGGAAGCCTGCTTCTCCCTCTCCCACTCCCCCTGCTTGTGTTCCCTCTCTCACTGTCTCTCTCTCTGTCAAATAAATAAATAAAATCTTTAAAATATATATATATATTCTCTAAATGGGTTTGACCTGGATGGATATTTTGGAATTGGGTAGACACAGTTTCAGTGACATAAGTGGATCCACAGAGCCCATTCGATCAACGGCAAAACCCCTCAGGAGTGCAGACCGGGGCAAAGAAAACAATTCAAAGACCAGACAAAGGTTAATTTAGTAATTGCCCGAAGGTGCTGGCAATTTCCAGAAGTACATGCTGGTGGAAACAGCAACCACTTGGGTCATTTGGCCCAGTGCCCATTCAGGGAAAGAAGAACTTGGAAGACTCCACATGGGGCCCCCGTTTGGTGGCCTAAGAACCACCAGGCAGCTGAAATGGGGGCCAGGCAGTGGGACGCCCACGCTGAGCTGCCATCAGCCGCCCCTTCTGAAACCTCAGGGACTTCCTGGACCAGAGGGGTCCCCTGGGGGCCAGCTCAGCCAGCTCGTCTGCTATGAGTGGACAGCAAGCTGCTGCTTGGACACGTCTAGGGATGGTGAACTCACTCCCTATTGAGGGTTCCCAGAAAGGGAATTGGAAAGGCTCTGGGTCATTATTCTTCATATCCTGGCCGAATCTTCACTCCTCACGCACTTGGCTCCTCTGCCGTTCAGCCGGATGAGACTCAGGTCAGAAGCAGCAGCTGAGTGCATACCCTTTGCCTCCAAGAATGTAATTCCCTCCGTCCAAATTGATATGTGACTATCTTCAGTGGGCGGCTATGATCAGAAGGTCCAGGCACCTGCAGTCACCGGCATAATTTATTCCTATGCATCAAGTCAGGGAGTACATATTGAACATATACTTTTGTGGAGCCCCAGAGAGAAATGGACATTGGTCATCACAGCCCCTCCCCTACAAGCTATCCACCCTGGCCCCGAAGAAAATGGATGGATATGAAGGTCCTATCTTTAGCGCACAGGGCTGATCTTACAAAAGCCCCATTCGCCCCCAGTGGAAAAGAAACCCTTGTAAACAGCCACACATGTTCGAACGTGTTGGGGCTTTTTCAACCAACTTGGCCGTCTGTTGGATCTGAGTGATATCCATGAACTTCTGTGCTGGAGAAAGATGCTGGTGATGGGGCCATAGTAGCCACCATAAACTGAAGTTACCATGTAACTGAAAGCATATGGTAGTGGAAGGAACACTGGGGGGGAGGGGGGCGGGGTAGTACCGAGCCGTGCCTCCAGGACTGTTTTTGGCCAACCTGAAAGAACTATGTGTAGTTCAAATCCTTTTTGCACCAGCACCAGGAGAACTTGCTATTTAAGGAAATCTGACGGCAAATCGTTTCTATAAAGTCGGACCAGTGACTGCTCACTTTCCCCCCATTTGTTTTTTTTTGGAAATGGGGTTTTTGCTTAAAACCAGACCATGGTTTGGTCACACGAAGAGTTGAGTTTGGTGGTGACCACGGAGCATCGTTCTCCAAATGAAATCCGTTCAGTGCAGCAACCCCCTTGTCACTCATGTGACCAGTGGTAAGCTATTTCATGCCTTGGTTACCATCAGTAAAGTGAGAGTAAGAAGGGTATCTACTCTATATGTTGTATTATCAGTCCTGGATTAAGTAAAATGGGCTCCGATTACATCAGCACAAGCCCCAGGAGCCCACCTCTGCAGAGCACGGGAAAGAAATCAGTGCTTCACAGGGTCAGGAGCTCTGGAGGTCTGCAGCCACCCAGACCACAGCTGGGGAATTCTGCAGCATGTGAATGAAGAGCAGGCGTGGGAAGAAGTGGAAGGGCATTGGAGCTGGTTGGTAAAAAGGATTTGGCAGTGATGCTCCTTTTAAAATTCTTGGCACACATTTGCCAGGATCTAAGCAGTCCTGAAATTAAAAAAAAAAATGTGGCTCACTTGTCATAATGGGAATTTTGATGGAAAATGTCAATTTAAAGGATTTCTAAGCTGACTCCTAGGGCACCGATTGGCTGGCTGGTTTGCATCTCTCGAGCCCTCCCCCTCCTCCTTATATGGAATTTCTATTAATGTTCCCGTATTTTTTCGTAGGTTGGGGAGAACATCAAAAATCTAGAAGGAGGGTGTAAGGAGCACGTGTTTGGGATTTCGTCTAGCCCAGCTCTCTTTAGTCTCTGATCTTCGCTGCAAAGTGAGGGCAATACCAGTGTCTATCTCACTGGATTGTTGAGAAAATTTAAACGAGACAGTGCAGGCAACGTGTTTAGCCTTGTGTCTGGGACATATTGAGCACATAATGAGTGATGTTTATCATGAAATAAGTGTCTGGGGGAAGCAGGTACTGCACACAGTTAATTAGCGAATCAAGCACCGCCACTGATCTCTTAGGAAATGAGGCAGGTGACGTTTAATTATCCCGCTTGGAAGGGACAGAGGTACTCACCGGGGCAGGCACCAACTCTTTCCATTAGTTAAGAGAAATGAGGTACCTGCCCCGTTTGCTATAAGGAAATTCTCCAGGGTCAAAATGGCTTGAACAGCTTTGGGAAATCGGTCAGTGACCATGCCTAGGGGACCTGACAGGGCGAGGTGGCAGGCTGGCTGTGTGTTGGTCTGTAAGAACTCACCCTCTTGGTCCTGTGGTGTGACTGAGCAAGTTGCTTACCCTTCTCTCCTCAGCCTGTCTATAAGGTGGGAATGAACTCCAAGCAGGTCATCTGATCTCCTCTACATGTCCTCAGTATTCTCATCTCTAGAATGGGAGTGAAGTAACAGGTTCTTCTTACCAGGATATAGCTTCTTATAAAGAACTTAAGAGATGGGGCACCTGGGTGGCTCAGTCCATTAAGCATCTGCCTTCGGCTCAGCTCATGATCCCAGGGTCCTGGGATCGAGCTCCACATCGAGCCCCACATCGGGCTCCTGGCTCAGCAGGGAGCCTGTTTCTCCTTCTCCCTCTGCCTCTCTCCCTGCTCATGCTCTCTCTCTGTCTCTGTATCTCTGTGTCTCAAATGAATAAATAAGATCTTTAAAAAAAAAAAACTTAAGAGTCAAACAAGCAAACATTCATATTATGTTTTCAATGTGCTAGGCATGGTTCCTAATGCTTTACATACTCTAACTAATGTTTCATTCCAGACCTCTGTCAGCTCGGGGGCCCTGTGGCTTCAGCCTCCTCTTGAGTATCTATCTGCAGGAACAGAGGTCACTCACTGCCTCTTGGACACTCCTTTCGGGTGGAGGGACCTTATGTCAGGAAGCAACTAGCCCCATCTGTTCTCCTTCAACGTGCAACCATTGGCCCTAACTCTGTGCTTTGTGGTCCCAAGGAAGAAGTCTGCTCCCTTCCCTATGGATGCCCTCAGAGATCCAAAGGCAGCTAGCAGGCCCCAACCCCCCGCCAGCCCAGGGCGGGACAAGCACAGCCCTTTCTCTCCCTGGCTGGTGGTTGCTCACCAGAAATGGAAACAAACCATGAAACAGGCCAGAGTTTGCTGAGCACTCATTGTGTGCCAAGCGCCTGGACGTCCCTGCCCTGCATTCTCAGACCAACCTTACAGGCACCTCTGCGACCCATTTCAAAGATGAGAACCAGAAAGAGACTCCCCCACCCCCAGCTCCGGGGAAGGAACTTGCCCCAAGGTCGCACTGTGGGTAAGCACCAGCAGCTTCAGCCTGACTCCCAATCCCAACGCTGTGGAAACGGGGAGTGCCGGAAAGCAGGAGAAGAGCAACGGGAGCCCCCGCAGGGCGCGGGGCGGGGGCGGGGGTGCCCCCCAAGGCCGAAGGGAGGTCGCGCGGCCTCAGCCCCAGCCCCGAGGCGAACGAGCCGTCAGAACCACGGACAGCTCCCGGACCGCTCCCCGCAGCCCCCGACGGCGGCGCGCGCGGGGCCGGCGGCGCGCTCCCCGCCAGCTCGGGCGCGCGCCCTCCCGCCAGCGCGCGCCCCGCGCCCGGGACTGGGCTGGAGCCGCGCGTGCCGCTCGCAGGGAGCCAGACTGCGCGTCCCGAGCCGCGGCCGCAGCCGGAGCTAGCAAGGGGCTCCCGCCCCGGCACGCAGTCGCCTCCCGCGGGCCTCCGGGCCTCCCCAGCGCCAGCCTTGCCCGCCCGGCCCCAGCAGGCGCCGCAGCCCGTGGCCTGGGCAGGAGCGGCCGCCGGTAACTGCGCCCTGCCCGGGACGGACGCCGGACCGCCCCGTCACGTGCGCCCAAGTCCTCGGCCGGCCGGGGCAGCGCCGTTCCCATGGTTCAAGGTAAGGGCCGAGCGGGGCTGAGCGGTCGCGGGGCATGGGGGCCGAGGACGCCAAGGACGCAGGCAGGGAAGCCCCGGCTCGGTGTCCACCTCGGCTGGAGCACCCACTGCAGCCTGCCCGGCCGCCTGGAGCCGAGTCCCTGCCCCACACAGCAGCCCCTCCACACCACTTGTCCCATCTTGATCTTCCCTGGAAGTGCGCCCCTGGGGAGGAGGCTGTGGACTGCGAATGGGGACTCAGGTGGGCAGCAAGGGCCTGAGGGAGGCGGGCGACCCACTGTGCCAAGGGACACCTGGGCTCTGTCTTGGCCTGGGCATGAAGGAAATCGGGGAGAGAAAGTTTCCGAGGGGAGCCTGGCCTCCATTCTCTCTGGTGCCAGGAGCTAAGACCTTTCATTTACTGAGGCTTGCCTTCTACCAGACACCTGCTGGGCACCTTACCTGCGAGTAATCATTCATTCAGTTCACCCAACACCCATGAGAAAGGGACATTGGTCCTATTTGACAAATGGGGAAACTGAGGCTCAGGGAAGTTTGATCACTTGTCAAAGGTCACAGAGCCACTGACCTCAAACACCCCATTGTCTGTCATTGCCACTGGCCTCACCCTCACCTTTGTCTGAAATCTCAGCTTAAATGGGGGAGAGGAGTACCAGACTGGCATTTGAGTTGTCCTAGCGAGGAATAAAAAGACTCTCCAAACACCAAAGATCCAAGAGAGATTTCCTGTCCACCTTCCTGGTTCAGCCACTTCCTCCCACCCAGTGTCCGGCACTCCCAAAGCCAAGGACCACATGGACACTAATGGTCCTGGCAGGGTGCATCTCATGGCAGCCCCCATGACTCAGTGACAAAAATCTCAAAAGTCAAGTTCGCTGACCCTTCTCGAGGATCAGGGAGTGTCCCAGAGGTCTTAGCCCCTGCATGCCCTGTTTTCACATTCCTCGGGAAGCTGGAGCTCAGGAGAGCCAGAGGAGACAACCTGTCAGCCTTCCCCCCAGGCTCTTGGGGGGGGAGGGGGCGTTTCCAGACACCATGGGAACTTCCAACCCCAGAAAGTTTCCACTTGCTAGGACACATCCATCCCCCTCTGCCAGTGGCACAGGATATAGCCTAGGTGACCAGAGTTCTTCTTCCCTAAGCAGGTGGCTCAAGCACTTCCTGGGCCCAGGGGAGGGGTTGACTTTAGTCCTTTGTGCTCTGACTGCAAGCTTCCTCAGGAGCTCGGGTGCTGGGAACTTGTGACAAATTCATCTTGCTCCTGAGGCTGGGGCTCAGGCAATGTGGGGTTTTGTTCAATTTTTCATTTGGCAGTGGCCATTGGGCAACCTGCATGACAGGGTGAAAAAAACAGGGTGATCCTTGTACCCTGGTTCCTCCTGATTTCTGATTTCCCTGCCACCTGAGTGTCCAGCGGGGCTCACTGGTCTGGATTCACTTGAAAGTCTGGGAATTGGCCTCCTGAACGGTTTGGGAGTCTGGGAAGGACCCGCAGGCTCTCCCAGCCTCGGTGCCCAAGGGGTGTGTGGGGAAGAGTGCCTGGGGAGCTCTGGGGAGCATCGGCTGGTCTTTCTGGAGCTCACTGGCACTCTCTGCTGAGAGCCTGGCCTACAGAAGTGTCACAGCTTCTCAGCCTGGCCTCTCCAGGGGAGAGGGGAGGGCGTCCACCACAGAGCCTGTCCCAGCCTCGGAGGCTTCGAGCTCCCAGACATGCATTGCTTACACCAGCACAATCATCAAACATGAGTAAGGACACTTGGGGGGGGGGGGGGAAGGGTGGGCACAGCTGGAGGAGCCAAGACTGATCTGCCCAGTTCTGTCCACCCTTCTAGGTGACCTTGGACAAGTCACTCTCCCTCTCTAGACCTCAGTCTCTCAACTGTGAAATGATGGAGTGGCTCATGTTATGCCCCCGATGGGCCATTACCACTCTGTTCACCCAAGCCTCGAACTGAGCGGTTAAGCCTGGGAGGAGCTGCAGTATTGAGGGAGGACAGAGGGGTTCTGAAATCTCCGGGCAAACCTGAGCCCAAGGCCCCCACTCAAATGATCACCCCAGGCTTGCATGTTTGGGGGCCGGCTCTAAATCGCTGACTGCTGATGCTGGTGCTGGGTGACTGATATGGCCCGGCCGGCCTGGAGGCTACACAGCAGGGCCCCACTCCTGCAGGGAGGCCCCTGGGTCTGCTCTACAGAGTGGAGGCAGGGAGATCCAGTGAGGAATAATTACAGTGCTCAAGAGGGGTGAGGGAGCAGGCGGCGCTGCGGGAGAGTTACTACGTCTCTGTAAATTGCTTCTGACTCCGGGCAGGAGGCAAGGCACAGTGGCAGCAGGGCCCCTGTCCTGGCCCCTGGGAGCTCCCGGCCCCACCACTGTCTCCAAAGTAGCGAGCCTGTGTCTATCCATCAGTAAGAGGCAGGTTGTGGATTCCGGGCTACCTCGGGCAAATCGCTCAGCCTCCTCGTGCGCAGAACTGAGGGTGCTTCTGGCTTCCCTGCCAGCATACGGCGGCCCCTGAGAAACTGGGCCTGCCCGAGGCGCTGGACGCCCCGAGTCTCTTCCCACGGTCTGCTCCACGGAGGCCAGGGCGACTGGGGGCTTCTCAGCCTTGCTTTGCTCTCCTCCTGGCCCTGGTTTTCCTTGCAGTGTCTCGATCCCTTTGGATTTGCTCCAAAGGGGATTTGACAAGCCCAGCCTCTTCAGCGTTTGCCAGCCCCTCTCCTTCCACCGCTGAGCGGAGAGGCTCCTGGGCGCGGGTGCGCTGGTGTCTCTTTTCAAAGCTCTTTGTTCCCTTGGGAATGAGGTCCCCTCCCTAAACAGGCTCAAGCTGGGGAGCCCTCCCCCGGGGCTTGGCCCAGCCCCCCGCCCCGGCTGGGGGCTGTCTAAGGATGGTAGGGGCTGCAGGAGGAATTCTAGGGGCACTGGCCACCTTGTCCCAGGGGGAGGGTGGGCTGCAGTAAGAGCCCCAAACTCACACTGAGGTTGGTTTCTGAGTCTGGTGTTGCTGCTTCCTGGCTGTGGGACGTGCTGGGCTGTGAAATGGGGACTGTGGCCCCTACTTCCTTGGGGGCCTTGCAGGATGAAACAGACGATCCTGGTGAGAGTCCTGGGGCCTCTGGAGTGGGGGAGCAAGGCGGGAGGTTTGATCAGGCAAGGCTTGTAAGCCCTGCTCCAGGGGTGGGTTTCTCCAGGGGTCCACAGAAATGACAGGCATCGTGAGCCTGGGAGGGACACGGCCAGATCCGGCCTCTAGAGAATGTTCTTGGGCTGCAATGTGAAAGATTGCTTGGAGAGAGTGAGGCTGGAGGCAGGAAGGCTCTGGAGGAGGTCACTGCCTCCAGTCAGAAGGGAAACCATGGAGGCCTGGACCAGGAGAGTAAGAAGTGGGCAGCAACACCATCCAACCGAGGCGGGGGCACCGGGACGCGCGTTGGGTGGTGGGAGGGGCCTGGGATGGAGCAAATAGCGGTCCTAGGGCACTCCTCTGCATGGGGCCGGGCCAGAGACCGGGGCGTGGCCGGACATGCAGGATGGGCCAGCGCACGCGGTGAGGACGCAGCCCCAGGGGCCCCCAGGGGGACTTTCTGTTCCAGCAACATCAGCACAGTGTCAGAAGTGCCCATCACCGCCTGTGCTCAATGGTACTGCCTGTCCTCTGCGCGTGGTCCCCGCCCACCTTGGGCGCTTTCCATGGGAACGGGCCCTGGCCGCGCCTGGCCAGTCACTATACCCCTGTGGTCAGCTTTCCCAGGTGGCGGAGGTGGGAGGAGGCTGGGCCAGACGCGAGGCCCACGTGGAGGCCGGCCAGGCTCCCGGGGCTGCAGCCTCATCTGCCACATTCCCCCGCCACGAGGACAGGTTGGTAGAGTGGCAAGTGGATGAGAGCATTGGCCAATGGGGCTGACCAGAGCCATGTTTCTGCCCAAGCTGTGTGTCCCTGGTGAAGTGACTTAGCCTCTCTGGGCCTTGGGTTCTTTGGTGATAATATTAACATCTACCTCATAGGATGCGCCGGATTACGACTCAGCTGGCTGACTGGGGAGGGCAGTCCAGGCATGCTGCGCGCTAGCAGAAGCCTCTCTTCCAGGCCTGGTCCACCCCCAGGGTAGCCCCCATGGGTGCTTGTTTCCTGCCTCAGCCACAGAGTGGCCTCAGGGCTGCCCAGCCTCGGGGCCACCCTGGCTCCCTGGCTACCGCCTGAGTCTGGGTTCTTCCCGACCGGATCCACAGTTTCTGCAAAGCAACAGCAACGGCAGAGGTGGCCCTTCGGGGCACTCCCAGGCTGGCCCCGGCCAGTGGGGCCCTCTGCTGGCCTGGGTCCTTGGAGAACAGTCCTCCCTCTTATGGTTGCTGTTGTTTGTCGTCATTTGCTGTACTTAGTTGCACATCCCAGAGGAGCTTACATTGGAGCCGTGCTACCCCGGTGTGGTCTGCAAAGCAGCATCAGCGTCCCCGGGGACTTGCTGGGAGCGCAGATTCTCAGACCCCCTCCAGACCTTCTGCTTTAACAGGCTCCCCGGGTAATTCCTGTGCTCAGTGAGGTTTGAGACACACTGTTCTAGAAAACATGCTGTTCACCAAAACGGAAAACCGACTCCACCTGCAGAAAGCTACAGCAGGTAACTGTCTCCTCCAAGCCACTTACGTTTTCAGCTGATCTGTATTACATTTTAATGCACTAAAGGGATTTTTAAATAAAATACATTGATGCTGGCTCTAAAAGAAAAATCAAACCCTCCATTTGTTTGTTTTTCATGAAGTAAAAGCCGCGGGTGTCCCCCCTGTGACCCCCCCCCCCCCCCCAGCGCTCGGCACCTGCCAGTCGTTTGCGTGCCGGCCACCCGGGCATCTTCTGGGGGCTTATCTGCGTGTGTTCCTGCCTTGCCCTTTTAGCAGCAGATCTGGATCCTCTCCCCGAGTCAGCACCCATCTTCTCATTCGTTCACCTGGCCCCACATTACTAAGCCGGGGTGTAGGTCATCCTGGGTTTTTGTTTGTGC